CTTCTCTGCCACCGATGCTCATGGATTGCATTGGAAAATCTTTGATGAAGTCATGCTCACAGCGTATGGCTCATAGGGCCCAAGCCCTGAAGTATTGGTTGAGGAGGTCTCTTCAACTCAAACGTCAGGAAGAGGAACTGGCGCAGACATTAGAGCCTGGAGTTGCAGAAGTTTTGCAAGGCAAGAGGATCCGTGTGTGGAAGGAAATGCTCCAGTCCATCAACTACAGCGATATGGGTGTTGTTGATGAGTTCCGCGCTGGCTCTAAGTTGACAGGACAGACAGACCTAACAAATTTGTGGCCATCGAAGATCACTCCCGCCACCATGACTGAGAGGGAGCTGCATGCACAAGCAAGGTTGCAACGAGATGGCCTTTCATTTGGGCAGGTGGTTTTCTTTGACTCCGAGATTGCACATTCAGTATGGGATCAGACGTTGCAAGAAGTTTCTCGTGGGGAAGCTGAGGGACCTTTTGACCTTAGCGAGGTGCCCTCGCATTTTCCACCCTGCAGGCGCTTTGGGGTCAAGCAGAGTGGAAAGATAAGATGCGTGGATGATTTTTCTTGGCCCGGGATAAACGCTGCCTCACAACCACGAGAATCCCCAAAACCTCACACTCTTGATGTGGTGGCAGCGATGATCAGTGCGGTGATGTGCCATGCTGAAGGTGGTCACGCTTGGTTGTCACGGAGTTTTGATCTGAAAAACGCATACAGACAGTGCGCGGTGCACCCTGAATCCCGGCAGTTTTCATATATTGTTGTTGGAGATCCCAACACATCATCACTGAAAGCCTTTCGCCTCAAGGCGCTCCCTTTTGGAAGCGTGAAATCTGTTCACAGTTTCCTTCGAATCGCACACAGCCTGTGGGCCATCCTTACATCAATTTTCTGGGTGATAACAACCAATTATTTCGATGACTTTGTCTCCATTGCTGAGTCCCGTGAAGCTGCATCGGTTGATTACACGGTGAAGGCTGTTTTCAGATTGTTAGGTTGGCGATTCGCCGAAGATGGACCAAAGGCACCGCCTTTCAGCAACAATCTTGTGGCGCTTGGCGTGGAGTTTGATGTGTCAAGGTTACATCAAGGATTGGTGAAGGTGGCCAACACAGAGCGCAGGCGAGAGGAATTGGCCCAGTCGCTGGATCAGGCCGTGGCATCAAAGTCTTTGGCGAAGCTTGAGGCCCTTAGATTGCGAGGGCGAATGCAATTCGCATCAGGCGAATTCTATGGGCGCTTAGCCCGTCGGTGCCTAGCAGTGGTAACGCAGCATGCATATAGCTCTGAGTCATCGACACTGTCTGAAGCTGCGGCCCATGCCCTGTCTCGTTTTAGAGACATGCTGGTCAATGGTGCGCCCAGGATGATTTCATCGAAGTCTACAACGACATGGTTTCTATTCACTGATGCTTGGCATGAACCAGATGAGTCGGAACCTTTTTCTGGCGTTGGTGGGGTCTTGGTGGACCAGCTTGGATGCAGGCGCCGTTTCTTTTCAGAAAGGTTGCCACCTGACCTCCTGAGAGATATCAATGTTTCCCGAAGGAAGACAATAATTTACGAGTGTGAATTTTTCTCTGTGCTTTGTGCAATGACTGTTTGGAAAGAATTTCTCCATCAATGCAATGTGGTGATCCACACCGACAGTGATGCTGTGAGGGATGCATTCATAGCTTGCCACACCAGCAGCACAAATTCTCTTCCTATACTTGATGCTATACTCAGAGCCGAGAATGATGCCGAATGCAATTCCTGGATCACTCGTGTACCAACAGAATCCAATATATCGGATGACCCTTCGCGTCTTCAAATTGATCATTTGATGAGTTGTGGATGCTTGCGTGACAGTATCGACTGTGCAACTATTTGGCTGAACACTGTATGCAAGCCTGGCCATGTTTCAAAAAGGGGAGGCGACAGACCAGCCTTGCACACCCCTTTGGACAAAAGACCGCATTGCGAGCGAGGGTCGTCACAGGATAATTTAAGTAAGCAAGACAACGGCAAGCGAACTAAATTCTGATGTGAGGTGATGAACTGATGTGAATCAACCGAGCTCTGGCTTACAGGTTTGAATGTCAAACATGTCAATGTGAAACAATGGTTTCTTTCAATGACAATGGTCGCAACTTCAACATGTCTCTTTTCTTTTGTGAATTTTTCACGCCCACCCTCAGCCACCCTGATACCTTGTCAGGTGGTTGGGGGTGTGCCAAGCCCAAAGCCTGGCGACAGACCAGCCTTGCACACCCCTTTGGACAAAAGACCGCATTGCAAGCGAGGGTCGTCACAGCAGAATTTAAAACTATGTAAATATATAAATAAATCATTACATACATTTACGTACATGAAAAATATGTGTGTATATGTATGTGTATATATGTATTAGTAAATATACACAAATGTTTCAAAAAAACATTTTTGAAAGGACATGGATGCAATTTTTGCTGAAAAAATGTTTCTGAACATGTCATGAATTTATGTGAGCAAACGTTTGCATTTTTCCTCTGATTGTTGACAAAAACATTCCGTTCCCAGTATTTGCGTGAATTGACTTTATATTTGTTTTGGATTTTTGTGCATGTTCCAAACTCCACGAAAACAAACATGATACAACCAAAACTCAAACTTTGTGGTTTGCAGTCCTCTATTTTGCCAAACAAAATGATAATCCCTTCCTCCTAATACTAAACCCCCCCCCCCTAATACAAAACACGGCAGGTAGTTTTTAGTATTAGGGGGGTATTTAATATTAGGGAACCAAATCGAAGTCATGTTAATTAATTAATTAAATTTCCTTATATAACGCAATTAAAATATTGCCAAAAATGGCAGTTCGAAGCTTACCCCTAATACTAAATTAAAACCCTTAATACTAAAAACTATTTTTTCCGATCTCAAAATCAATTAAATTTCCTTATATAACGCAATTAAAATATTGCCAAAAATGGCAGTTCGAAGCTTACCCCTAATACTAAATTAAAACCCTTAATACTAAAAACTATTTTTTCCGATCTCAAAATCAATTAAATTTCCTTATATAACGCAATTAAAATATTGCCAAAAATGGCAGTTCGAAGCTTACCCCTAATACTAAATTAAAACCCTTAATACTAAAAACTATTTTTTCCGATCTCAAAATCAATTAAATTTCCTTATATAACGCAATTAAAATATTGCCAAAAATGGCAGTTCGAAGCTTACCCCTAATACTAAATTAAAACCCTTAATACTAAAAACTATTTTTTCCGATCTCAAAATCAATTAAATTTCTTTATATAACGCAATTAAAATATTGCCAAAAATGGCAGTTAGAAGCTTACCCCTAATTGCTAGAGTAGCTAGGCAGCTTGGAGTGAGGGATTGGGACTAGGCCCCCCTAATACTAAACACCCCGGGGTGAACTAGTTTTTAGTATTAGGGGGGAGAACCCACAAATGGTAGGTTGATTTTTAAATTGTTTTTTAAAGGGGATCAATTAAAAGTCAAATTGGCCAAACTGAAATTTTCGGAAATTGGAGATGGATGCCTGTTTTTAGTATTAGGGGGACGTTTAGTATTAGGAGGAAGGGATTAGAAATTTATGTCTTGTGTTTTTGGCATTGCAGTTGTGGCCATTGCTTCTGACCACCAGGTGCACGTAAGACCAGGTGCATCATCAATTTGGTTGCAATTTGAAAGTGAACATGGGCAAAACAGTTTCTTAGCTGACATAAAGGACCGATGTTGACTGCAACTGTCATAACTCAAAAAAACATGTCCTTTTAGTTTTGTAAAACCTCAATATTTCCTCGCAATGGAAACTCTTCGACGCCTGCGGAGATGTGCTCATGTGGCTTGGTTTGTGCTAGGCATTTGTCTGGCTATCGCCATTAGCTGGTTTTTGCAGAGAAGAGAATGCACAAATTCTGACCCGGATTGCGTTTTGCAGGATGAAATTGTCCGGAATCAAATTTGTAGCAATGTCACCAAAAACACCGCATCATTGGAGGCCAAATCCACCCCGGCCTTGACGGCTGTGTTGTTTTCTATTGCCGGAGCACTACTTGGAGTTTTTGCTGTCATATTGATTATTGGTTTGGCTCTCCACTTCCATGAAAAATACCACAGCGGATCATATGTGAGGTTGATGAGAAGCGCATTGCTGCATCAAACTCGTTGCCATGCGTCCGTTCCACAAAAAAGGCAAAATTGGAAACCTCTGCGCTGGCAAGCAAACGTCTTTAGTTGCAAAGATTTGCGAAAAATATTTTGTCTGGATCTGGATATGGTTAATATTGCTGGTGTTGGGCTGACTTTGTACCGCGCGACCATGGTGTTGTTTTTAGCTATTGCAGTCCTTTGTCGAATCGGAAATGGCGTCTCTACCAGATTTTTACTTTACATATCGACAGATTGGTGTACGGACCGTCTTTCAGCTCCCCAAGCTGCTGCCGTTTGGGGGGATTTGGCGCAAGAGAGAGCATTTGCTCTCATGCGGCTCTACATCATCATCTCACTCCTGCATTTGTACCATTTGTATCGGCAAGGAGCACGTCGAGATGAATTTGACCGGATGCATGCGGAGATGTCAGATTACGCTTCCATTGCTTCTGGTTTTCCAGAAACTGCAAACCAAAAAGAAATATTGGAATATTTTAAAAAATCATTGCAATCTTTCCAAGCCGAGGGCGAGGGTAGTTTGAAATGGCGACCCGAGATTGTTGGCATTTCGATTGGGTATGATTACAGAGCTCATTCACAGCTCATCAAGTGCTTAGTCGAAGAACACTTGATTGATGTAGCTGCCCGTCTTCAAGCATTCGAAACCACTCGAGATACTCGAGCCGCAGCTTCTGCAGCTTCTGCCGTATTTGATTCTGGTTCTGCTGGTTCTGGGTCCGACTCAGAATCCGAGGACTCGATGCTTCCTGCTTCACTGTCACAGCAGCGTCACAGTGCTCTTGAACTGACCGGACTGACGGGTGCAACTGGTTACACAAGCGGTGTTTCTGAAGGCAGTGATCATGTTCTGCACGTGTTGCGCTCCATTCCTAACTCAGGAACTGTAGTGGTCGTTTGGCGCTGGCCTTGTGAGTCGGTTGAAATTCTGCAAGAAATACAGCAGTGTTTGGATGAGAACGAATGGGAAGGCTACAGAATCAAAGTGGCGCCAATTCCCTGTGAGCCACCTTCCATGATTTAGACAAACTTCGCTGCTCACTTGTTCAGGCCAGGAAAGGAAACGACTTTTACCTGCTGCGGTCGGGCATACAAGTTCTTTCTGACTGTCAGACAACAGCAGATCTTGTTGGCACACCTGCTGATTGTCAGCGCCTTTGTTGTGATGCTGACCCTGTATTACCTCTTGTACAAAATGGTGTACCAACGAGGGTATCACCCAGAGCAAATCCTGACTAGGCTTGTCACCTGGTGTTGTGCTCTTGGAAATGTACTTCTAAACCAATTGGTATGGTTTGCCTCCCAGCAAGTGGGCTATCGTGTCAAGACGCATTGTGACACATTTGTTCTGACTTGGTATACCTTGGTGGTGTTCACCAACATGGGATTTAATTTTTTTGTAATCTGCTGGACAGCTGGTTCAGTGCCGCGAGATCCTATTGCAGCAATTCACTTTGAATCTCAACTGGGCTCAGCACTTGTTGCATTCTTGCGAGGCTCCCTGATTTCGTATGCTATTTGGCCATTGTATTATCCTTTCTACTGGTTGAAAGGCATGGCACAAGTGCTACGTTTGCACCTGTTTCGAGATAGGTCCGGAGTCACAGAAAGAAGGTGTAAATGGTTGGCTGAAGGTGTTGCTGAGCCTCCAGAGTGGTATATGCAGTATGACTATGCAGGAATCGTGGTGTTGGAAGCAACATCGTTCATGTGTCTTTTCCTATTTGGCTTTGATTCTTGGCGAGTCTTTTCTTGGGATGTTATGTGGGCATGTGGCATCTACTTCTTAAACAAGTACATTTATCTTGGGCTAAGCAAAGAAACCTTTTACACGTCGCGAACTCTTGACACTTCCGTGCTCGAGTTGATGTCCATGTCGCTTGGAGTCTTGGCTGGATGTGTTTGTCATTGGGGATTCAGAGCTGGCCGTCCTGCAACGTTCATAGTGCCGGTCTCAATCTTTTCCCTGCTCTACTTGTGGGCTTTCGATCGCATTATGCAATCTGACAAAGGGCAAAGCGGGCTCAGAAGTTCAGCAGAAAGGGTTTGGTATGACGACTTACCATACGAGCAGCTTGAGCGTATGTACCCTTTTAACTGGTTCAACGTGAACCCAGTTCATATGATGCGGATCTTGCATGGAGTAGACCATTCGGAGCAATCAGGTTGCTTCCACCAGCAGGTCGTATGGCAACCTGGTCGAAGTTATTTGCAACCAGATCTTTGCTTCGATTATGGTCATTATGGTGGCGAATGCCGGGAACCAGATACAGACAGTGATCAGAGAGATCAGAGAGATCTTGATTTGTTCACTGCGCTCACAGAAGCCAAGCTGAACATATCCATTTGATGCTGTATTGCCGTGTGCAACGATAATGTTGATCCTAGTAGTCCAAAAACAACCCTCTTCGGCAGAGGTTTTATTTACATAGTTGAGGTCAAGGAGAGTCCACTGCCTTGTCATGAAACATTCACTCATTGTTTCTTTCATGATTGTTATTATTGCTATTGTTTTTGTTGTTACTGTTCTTCTTCTCCTTCTCCTTCTCCCTCTCCGTCTTCTTATTCTTCTCCTTCTTCTTCTTCTTCTGCTTCTGCTTGTGTTTCTTCTTCTTCTTCTTCTTCTTTTCCTCTTGTCATCGTCGTCGTGGTCGTGGTCGTTATCGTCACTGTCGTTGTGGTTTTCATTATATAAGATATAATATAATCGTCGTCGTGATTGTTGTGCTCGTCGCGGTTGTGGTTGCCGTCGTCGTCGCCATTCTCGTCGTTGTCCTTGTGTGCCAGTGCGCTGGCCTCTTGGGCAACTGTGTCAAGCGCTGTGCAGGACTCCGGGACCATTTCAGCTCATTTGCATGTCTTGTCCTTTTTTAAATTGACATCCTTTTTACTTTCAAGGCGTTCTTGGCTACCGTGAATAGACTGCAGCATGTTGGGCAACTTGTTGGTCCTGAGGAAGTGCAAGCTGAAGCAAGACGAGTTGCCTCAACCCATGCTGTCTCAAGGACAAACTCTCCATACCTAGTCGCAGCATCTCCAACGCAGACTGCAAGGACCCCTCAATGCCCTCCTCTGCCTCCTCCCCCTACGGCGACATTTAGGACTGTCTGTGGTCCATTTGAACCAGAGCGAACACGCACTGAAAGCTTGTCAGTAGACTGCTTTAGCACATCCCAACGTCCAACACAGCCTCTTGGCATATTTGAAGTGTATTTCATATTTGGTTTATTTGAGTGCTTTCGTGTCTTAATGTCTACTAGAGGTTTGAGATGCTTGCACAGGGCAGACTGGGTCTATGATGCACTTTTGCTATCAGCTATCAGTTGCTTGACTCAATCCAGGGTTGCACCTGAGGCCCAGCCGCTCCGTGTAGCTCGACTTTGGAGAATCGACACAGTCAAGACATGACGATACGACTATTGAAGTGACTACTGGATACATCACTACTCAATGTTACCGCTGTGCGTCCGAACTCCTTGAGCAGCGCAGCGATGCCACAAGATCCACCGCAGGTGCAGATCTGCCCTCGACGGCTTCCTCTACCAGGCCAAAGGAACGAAGCTCATGCAATGGTGTAAGGATGTGCAAGGATGTGCAAGGGCAGTCATTTCTAAACGATGGCGAACCAAAATAGTGAGGAATGCAGATCTTCTATAGCTGGAGCAGAGCTATGCCTTGGTTGCCGAAACTTGCGACGTGCAAAAGTTTTTTCTGCGCCAATCTTGTGAGCAGCTTTGCAGATGAAATCTTATGTTCACTCGGATTCACTGTTTTTCTTGCTCCAGCAAAACATGTGTTTGAAACAAAGCTCTCCAGACACCTTATGACAAGAATTCAATTCACTTGCAGTGTGCTCTTTAGATAACACGTGGCTCAAGAGCCTCCAGTTAAACCGTCAGTAAAACTTAGCTAATATGGACAGAATGCTGTGCAGTCTTGCATGGTACAACCGCAAGTTGCATGTCAAACATTCACCAACGAAGAACAGATAGCCAGAGGGGCCGAAGCTTCTCTACGTTTGAACTGGCAAATGGCTTGAGAGTCGTTGTGGGGACTGATCCTGACAAGTCTGTCGCTGCAGCCGCCCTTGCAGTTTTGGGTGGAAGCATCCATGAACCTAAAGAGAGGCCTGGCCTAGCGCACTTCTGTGAGCACATGCTTTTGCATGGAACCCTTCAACCAGGCTATGATGCGAACTTCGCTGAGTACATCAAACAAGCTGGAGGTACTCACAATGCTGTCACCACAGTGCTGCAGACGTGCTTTGCATTTGAAATTCAATCGGAGAAACTTGAAGGTGCCTTGAGTCGCTTTGCCCGCTTTTTTGTCTCACCAATCTTTAATCCATCGTACCAGTATCAGGAGTTGCAGGCGATTGATGCAGAACATAGCATGAACACTACGAATGACTTTAGACGGCAATGGGCCATTCTACTTTTGGATGCAAATCCGGAGCATCCTTATCATTGGACCTCAGGTTGTACCAAGTCATTACAAAATCCCCTATTGCGGACGAACCTACATCAGGCGCTGGAAACATTCCACGCTCATGCATACAAGGCGGACAGAATGTCCCTGGCTCTTGTTGGAAATCAATCCACGAAGAAGCTAACAGAGTGGGTATGCAAGTACTTTGCCTGCGTTCCTTCTTCTCGGGTGAGATCGAAGGACTTGAGCGACTTGATGGGTGCCGGTATTGGCAAAGGAGAGCCGCCCTTTTTGCATGAAGATTTTTGTATCCTTTTTGAGTTGTTCAGCAGCGCTTTTGATTTGGGTAAGCTTTCCCACTTCTTGTGCTTGATGACTGGTTTTGTGATTTGTTTTTTAACCTGTGGCGTATGGACCAGACAGGTAGCCAGGTTTTCGTAGTACCAGTCAAAGAACTTCACCAATTCAAGTTGTCTTGGCTCCTACCATGGCAAGTGGCCAAGTGGAAGTCTAAACCAACTGCATATGTCAAATATCTTCTTGAGCAAGAGGGTGATGGAAGTTTGCTCGCTGCCCTTGCTGCTGCCGGTCTATCACAAAATCATGCAGTCAATTGCTTTGACTACCATGGTGTCGCATCTACCTTGGAATTGTCAGTTGACCTCGTGAACACCACTGAAGAGACACTGATGCGCGTGGGTACTTTGGCCTTCGCTTACATTTCATTGATCCGTTCAAAAGAAGTGCAGCAAGAGCTCTGGGCAGAAATCAGGGAACTGCATGAGCTGCAGTTTCACTACCCAGATGAACTGGGGGGTTCAGCGGCTTCTGCTCCGTTCGATTTTGTGCAAGACATTGCATGTAATTTGCACTACTATCCGCCTGAACAAGTGCTTGCAGCGGATCAATTGATATACACAGAAGATTTTGAGGGATGCCAATCTATCTTGAGGCATATGACGGTGCAAAACGCTCGGCTGTGTTTGGTTTCCAAGGACTTCGAGAGTTTTTGCGTATCCACGGAGCCATGGTATGGTGGCAAGTTTCTCAAGTGTGACACAATCAAAATGGACTGGAAAAATAAATGGATGGCTGTTGAAACAGGCCAGTGGGAGCACATTGCAAAGCAGGAAAACTTTAGATTGCCGGGAAAGAATAGTTTTATTCCCAAGGATTTAGTGATGCGACATGTGCCAAAGGAATCGCGACCAGTTGAGATGAATGTTGGGGATTCGTGGTGTCGAGCCTGGTTCAAACAAGCAAATCTGGATCAACCAAAAGCAGCTGCTGCGTTTTGTTTTTACTCGTCAGAGCTGCGGACGCCCAAGGAGGTTGCATTGGCACACCTGTACTGCAAATTGCTCCAGCAAGAACTTAAAGCGGATGCATTTCAGTTGCGGATGGCTGGTGCAAGGTACCAGCTAGACGTAGCTGAGGGTGGCAACGGCATTGTATTGCAAGTGATTGGCTTCAGGGACAAGATGCACCTGCTAGCGAAGAAAGTGTCAGAATCTCTCATCTCCCTCAATCTCTTGCAGAGCTGGAGACAAGTGAAAGATCAACAGGAGCAACATGGGCTGGTGGATGATGAAGCTTTAAGTTGTTTCGAAAAACAACACCAACTTACTTTCGTGTTTGTCCTGCTACCTTACTGGGAAAGGCAGGTTGAAGAAACTCTCTTACTCCAATTCGGCTAGCCAGCTGACTGTGGTTTACGCGGCTTTTTTTTAGGTGAAAATTGCTGGAGGGCTTTTTGCTGCTGGTGTCTTCTAGGATGCAACTGATGCAACCCTGCTCCAGAAGGTAAGCTTTGTGAGTGAAGATAGTGAAACGGAATAGAGCGGAGCACATAGAAAGACTAGCAGGATTTGCCAGGTCACATCACGCTCACATCCTGAACTTCTGGTAACAGAATGACGTCATTTGACGTCAGAATATCATCACCATCAAACAATCTGAACTTTCTGTCGAACTTGTGCCATGAGCCTTGTCCGAGCAGCATGGATACCTCGTTGATATCAAGTCTTTCTCGAACATTGGACCTATTTGTTTGTAACAGGAACACTTGAAACACAAGTGCGCTTCCTCTTCTGAAAGCTCCACGGGAACCTTTTTCAAGATTAAAAAAAGCATTGTCACTGCAAGGTTGAACTTATTTGTGAAATTTTGTGAATCTCAGGAATCAAAACGCCACTGCCACGTTTTTTGGTGTGACGGGAGTTCGTGGCAGTGTCATCCAATACTGAGCGTTGTTTTAGTCTTTTTTGGCCCTTTGACAGTTGCAACTTTAACAAGTGGCCGAAGTGGCCTGCAAAGCCTCGAAAAAATCGAACAGTGTCCAGATCATACTCTCATGTCTCAAGTGAAGAAACAACAAAGCAATATATGTCAAACTAAGAACCTTGCCCTTTTATAAACGTGTCTCAATGCAACTGTACAAACTATTTGGTTCGCGTTGTCTCATTTTGCGTCCTTCGCTTTTTTTCATGGTAATATGCGCACGAACTTGAATGCATAGTATGTCTCCACTTGCGATGCCCAAACAGTTTGTTGCCCCGAAAACATTTCAATCAAAAGTCCTGCAGTCCTGCAGTTTTTCCATATTTTTCCTGAATGCTTAGTGAAGGGTTCTATTCAACTTGGAGGTCTGGACGACCTTTCGTCTCAGCGGTCCCAACCTTTTGCTCCGTCTATGGCCCTATGGGAAACCTGGAAAGCCTGTCACTTTGGATGTGAAAGTGTTTATCAAAGTACGGATACTGTGCTTAGTCGTGACTTTTGAGTGTCGAAATGTGCTTTGTGTGGCGCAATACATGTATGGATGTTGCAAGACAAAGTTGCTTTTACTTACGACTTGGGAGATGTAAAACTGTCTTTGATATACTGTGCCTGGCAAGTGCACTGCACGCCCTCCGGCCACAGGTATTTTGTGAGTCGCATTTGAACAGCTACGCGCAGAAGTCCATAAGTGCAGATTGCGTTGCAAGCATCGCGGCGTTGTAAGACTTGTTTTTTATTTTGCAGTACCTGCCACATGCCTTTCACAAAGGGGTCCTGCAAGAGTGTCTCACCAGAGTGGTGTCTTCCGAGTAAGAGTGCCTCAGCAGGGTCTCTCGCATTTACGAAAGTGTCCCGCCAGAGTGTTTTCCAAGAGTCCCACCCGGATGTTTTGCAGGAGTCTCCCACAAAAGTGTCTCATAAGAGTGTTGCAACAAGACTGTCTTCCAAGAGTGCATAGCAGGAGCACTCACAGTAGTGTCCGAAGAGGGTGCCTCAAAGGACTGTACGGGAAGAATGTCGTCCAACAGTGTTCTAGAGCAGGTCTTGCAGAAGTGTTTCACAAGACTGTCTCACAAGAGTTTGGAACATGGGTGTCCTGCAAGAGTGTCTTCTAAGAGTGTTTCACATCTCACAAGAGTGTCTCGCACGACTACTTTGTCGAGAGCGTTTGACAACAGTTGCAAAGCCTATCCCAATCACATGCCAGCTTTTCATTCATGATGTTCGATGATCAGGACATTTTTTTGCATCAAGAACAGCATGTACTCTTAGCTTGCGCTGTACGTTTGGATTCATGGGCTCTATCAGTTTTTGAGCCGTTTACCACTTAGCCGTTGGGAGACTCTCTCAAAATAGTTTCGTTGATGACTTTATGCGAAGGAGCGCACGCTTCGAAATGCCACTCGAGGACAAGCATATCACCAGGCCAGCATTGTCTGGACAAGCAGTGCCTTCAGAGAAATCTACTAGATGCATAAGCCAAGTTCCATGAAGTTCCGCTGTGATTTTCTCCCACCGTCACCGTCCAGGCCCTGAAGACATTGGAGGAGCTGTTACTTCAATCTCCATCTGTCACGGAGCTCGCTCAGGTGTGCTGAATTGTGCCATGTCTGCTGAACAGTTATTTCAATTCTATTATTGGTGCTCAGCATTTTTGTGTCCCTCATTCGCTCAGGCTACAAGTTTGCTGAGGGAAGAAGATTGCACTGGACTGTTTTCCAAGTTCTTTGGTTCCGGGAAGTGTCTCATAGAAGGTCTCATAGTGGGCAATGTAGATTGCGCAGATGCAGTACAAATTTTGAATGCAGTACTGGATCCTTTAAGATGCGTTGGTGAGTCTGAAAGCCGGGTATTTCATGCAAGACATGTTCCAGCTCGAGTTGAAATGCTATTGCCCCGGCCCCGATGGAGTCCAAGTCCCTATCAACTCACGATTCTTCAGCTGGATGGCACAAATCCAGAGGATCGGAACAGTTGTGCAGTTGAGAGTAT